TGTGTCAAAGACATATCCACATCAAATTAAATTTACAAAAGTGACTAGGCTATATATACATAAAAAGCATATTAAATGTAAGTAAAGTACTTTAACGTTTCAAATAACGTCTGTGAAAAAATGTCAAAATGAAATAATGTTCCATCATCATTCAGAATAACATTTATGTAAAATATTTATGTAAAAATGAAACAACACTTATTCGGACCTGTTAAAATAAATAAAAGAATCTGATCATCATACTAAACATTATTGTATTTGAAATGATTGAAAAAAAAAAAACTTCTTGCTGATAAATGGGTAAAACCTAGTGGTTTGGATGATGTTGGCAAAGATGGTAAATATTTAAAATAAGAATTTGTTTTTGGAGGCTGCACTGTGATCCTTAAATAAAGTCTTTTAATGTCATCTAATGACCCTTGTCTGCCTGACAAGATTTTTTGGTATACAAACATCAATACATTTATTAGCATAAGGAAGACATATTCTATAAAACAAAAGTGCTATTGTAAGCAAACATCCTGAAACTAGTTGCATTTTCATTAATGTCCCTAAACAGCCAAAGCGAGTTAAAAACGTTAAAGTTTAATTCATGGTCGTTCAACACTTGGTAGGTTGCACGCATACAATGAATAATAAATAGTTGCCTGATTTAGATTACCTTCATCCACATTCACTGGCGCGCATTTGAAGATCAAAAGTTGTTTGTAATGTTACAGTGTATCGTCTGTTGTTACGTCATAAAGCGCTGGGCTCTGTCCGTTACTGTGTTGCTCCGCTTAGAGACGCAAACAAAAGTGAGCTGATGTTTAGCTTTCTCCACTAACTCACCCCGCGGTCTCATCCTCAGTCCTGCTAACCGAGAAGCGACGCGGTTCTCGGAGCATTTCTGCCTTTACTCGCGTGCAAAACCCGCCTCAAACATGCCTAAGATCTCTGCTTTGGCTCGCCTTGTGAAAAGCGTTTGCGCTCGCGGAGTCGAGTTCACGCTGACGTCACTTCAGCCTTTATTATTCATGATGATGATCAGAGGGACTCTAACTCAAATCTGAAATATCAATGGACAAGCTCTTTCAGATGGAGCCGTGTGTGTCTCGAGAACAGCTCAGAAATGAGGAGTCGGGGGAAGGGCTTTTCTGCTCTCTCTGAAGCTGACAATGAGAAGCCAGGGGCCTGGACCCCAGCAGATGGCTGTCATCGGACCTGTGTGGGACACACGCTTTAAACAAGCATCTTCTCAAGTAGTGTGCAGTCCTGAACAATGGAGATTTTAATTGTATGAAAACTGAGGAATGTGTATTGCATCCTACTATAGGCCTATGTGTTTAATTAATAAATCAGTCATAAAAAGAATTCTGTATCAAAACAAAGCACGATCCTTTCTAACTAGCAGGCTTGTGCTTTACTGTCATTTCTGAAAGGACAAATCTTCATGCTACACTACACAATGGCATCTAAAAATGTAACCCTTGTGCAACCTTAGGGACATTTTTGTCTTTCTTTCTTTCAGGCAAAAATGTGCATTTTATTTGCATACATTTATTTTACTCTAGGTGCAAAAAATAGTTACACTCAAGACTTTACAGACAAAAATGTTGCATTGAAACTCTTTACAGATTATTTGAACTGTATTGAAACTCAAGTTGCAATATTTAATCTCAGTGCCATTTAATAATAAAATCATGCATTCTTTGTTAACAGGTTTTCATTCTGTCAGCAAGGCTGTAACATTTTTACTATTTATAAAATGTTTAAAATTGTTACTGTTTTCCACCTTATAGCACCATTTTCTTTCTCAGCTTTGGCCTTTGGAGCAAATACTTATCCAAGACTGTAATAATAATAATAATAATAATAATAATTTGTAATAAATCTGCTTAGCATTTAGTATATGGAAAATTGACAGAAATAACTGAACAGGCAAACCTCTTAATTAGAAGAAGGTATTTTGGCCAGTTTTGGAATAATCTATTCTTGTGCTTCATGAGCTATAAGAGTACATGGTAGTTTTTCAAATTCAAGAGTCTAAGATAGTTTGTGTGACTTAAAAAAAAAACGGTCATAATTTACTCATCCCCTCTCATCATTTTTGCCCCAAAAAGTTCATAAAGACATTGTAAAAGTAATCCATAGGAAGTGAGTAGTTTAATCCAACTCATCTGAAAAGACACGATTAATTGGATGGTGAACAAACTTAATTAAACCTTTTATTCTCATATATATATATATACACTAATCGATATGGAAGGCAGTTTCCACCATAGAATTACAAAAAGAAGGGAAAAAAAGACTCAGACTATAAACAGAATATAAGCAAGATATAAACTCAGAATTTCAAGATATAAACTTGTAATTATGAGGGAAAAAAAGGCATAATTATAAAAGGCTCCCATAGATCAGTGCTTGACACAAGAGAACAAATATCACTGGCACTAATCGATATGGAAGGCAGTTTCCACCATAGAATTACAAAAGAAGGAAAAAAAAGACTCAGACTATAAACAGAATATAAGCAAGATATAAACTCAGAATTTCAAGATATAAACTTGTAATTATGAGGGAAAAAAAGGCATAATTATAAAAGGCTCCCATAGATCAGTGCTTGACACAAGAGAACAAATATCACTGGTTCTTGTGGAAGCGCAAACGTGCTTGTGCTACACTGTGAGAATGTCTCAGGTTATCATGTAAGCATGTTTCAGAGAAGGGAAACGAGACACTGCATCCTCTAGTGGGCACTATGGGGAATGTCTCTGGCATGACCGGTGTCTGAAGCATGTGTCTAAACATGCAGGAACTATGATGTCACTACTAGTGAGACCATGAGTATAAAAGGACACCTGTAAAACACGTCATCCACTTCATGTCTGAATGGGACGTGCACAGGAATACATTAAGCATGGTAAGGAGACGCCGTGCGGTTATCTGGCGTGTCTGAAGCATGTGTCTAAACATGCAGGAACTATGATGTCACTACTAGTGAGACCGTGAGTATAAAAGGGCACCTGTAAAACACGTCATCCACTTCATGTCTGAATGGGACGTGCACAGGAATACATTAAGCATGGTAAGGAGACGCCGTGCCTATTTCCCCTTGTAAGGGAACCATGGTTACATTAATAACCTGAGATGTTCCCTTTCGAACAGGAACTCGCACTGCATCCTTCAGAGCAGTACTTCTAAAACTTGTCCTGGGGACCCCCATCCACTGCATATTTTGTATGTCTCCCTCATCTAACACACCTGATTCAACTCATCTGCTCATTGGTAGAGTCTGCAAGACTTGGGTGTGGCCTATGAGGGATGCATACAAAATGTGCAGCAGTTGTGGGTTCCCAGGACAGATTTTAGAAGCACTGCTCTAGAGGACACTATGGGAAACAAATAACCACTACACCATGCTGAAGGGATGAGTGCCTGACAATAAAGTCAAAGGCTGTATCCAAAATCACCCCCTATACCCTCATTTACTTTTTCCTACATTAGGCCACTAATACAGTTCACTTGAAGGAGTGAATGAAAACAAGTGAGTGAATTCAGACACCGAGTGCACCGGAAGGACTGCCGCTTTTGCATAGTTTGTGCTTGCTGTTTAATCATTTGAAACTGGCAAACTGGCAGCTCAACTAATAAGGTGAAAGAATTTATCCTGAACTCTGTCATGGAAATTATGTATAAACCCTAGTTTAAAAAATGTAGTAATCAATTTACAATGCATTTATTCCTGTGTTGTATTATACTGTATTATGCCGTGGACGAGCGCTTTGTAAAATGAATGGATGGATGATTCAGTTTCGGGCACCATCTTCTGGTGAGACGGGGAAATTCATTCGGTGTGCGACTCTCACAATGCATTATGGGTATTCTCTAGCCCTTGAGCGTGCACCGGTTGTACACTCGTTTTTGCAGTGCGTTGTGGGATCGAATGAGTGCACTCGAGAACATCCACTATGGTTTCGGACACCACTACAAATAGTGCCCAATTTAAGGGTATAGGGGGCGATTTTGGATACAGCCAAAGACTCTTTATTACGCCCCGCGTCTAGGGAACAAAAGGGGGATAATGGAGATAGGATTGGTGATGGATTCCCAAACAAATTAAAGAAGAAATCACTCCGGTCGGGGACCAAACAAGCATGCCATTCACGTAAACAACATACTGTTAGGTTTATTGAAGATTATAAGTGAAACATGAAGAGCATCCCTTCGGGGTAGCCACAGGTCAACATAACAAACAAAAAAGGGGTCTAGAACAACAAAAAAAGATAAATTAAATAACCTAATTAATTTATCAAATAAAAATACAGCCGGCTTGCCCAACTTCCTAACCAAAAACAAAACCCAAACAGTTTCACAAAGAAAAAGGGCAGGACACCCCTACGCTCTGTTTCACAAAATGAGAAGTTCTGGTCCCAACAGCGGGTGTTAAACATTAGTTTGGCTGCCGGCCGGAGGAGGAATCCAGGAGCCCTGAACCCGTTCGTGTTCGCACCAACAATGAGCTCCCCGACTGCTGGCAAGCAGCGTTCTTAAAAGACTCCGCCTTAA